ATGCAACATGTGAATATAGTAAAAATTTTGGAATTCATATTCATTGTTCTCATACAGTCTGCATACTGAAATTGTGGTAGGTGTACCCTATACACAAGTTCTGCATAATAATCAACTTATTAATATACATGATCTACACTCTAACTTATAAAATAACATGGCCAACGGCCAGCTCAATTAATGGGCAGCGTATCTGTCACATCGCAGTTACGTCAGTCCTGAGTAGGAACTCTTTACCGGTTATTTGTTGTTTCTATTGAGCACTGTAAAACTTTGATGTCATGTGATCTGTATACAAGTCTGAGAAAACTTTATGAGAACTAAGATATTTGATTTGAAACAGGAGATTTAGTGTAGATCAAATCTAGCAATAGAGTGAGTTGTGAGTGAGTGTTCACAAAGTACTAGGTGCATTATAATCTTGAGTGATTCATTTACTTTCAATTGATTTGGTCACTTTTCAAGTTAAATGGAGTAAATCTTGGGTGTATGTATTCTGGGATAGAATAGTTTCTGGTTGAAATACATGCATATTAATTACCATCATTACCATTAATTAGCATCATTGCAGACTTGTCATTCACTGTATAACGAATACCGTACTGTCTATATTTTTTAGAATTGACTCGTAGAATATTTGGTTTATGTTATTGACAGGAACACAGTGTGTCAAAGAAAAGGAAATCAAATAAAGCCATATCTAGAAAAAACAGTAAATCCTCACAAGTCAGTTTGAAGAATACAGCGACAATTGTTCCCACCAGGATGAGTAAAAGGAGACTAAATACAAAAAACAATAAAGGTATTGAATATGGTTTATTTGTAGTTATGTTCACAGTAACAAGGTGTTTACAGTGTTCAGTGTACTGGAATATTCATAGTAATGAGGTGTACATGGTTCTGTTGTGTCTTTGCATTCACAGTGATGAGTTGTTCAGAGGAATATCACTGAGGTGTTCATAGTGCTTTGGCATTCCCAGGTGTTCATAGTGCTTTGGCATTCCTATCACTGAGGTGTTCATAGTGCTTTGGTATTCCTAGCAATGAGGTGTTCATAGTGCTTTGACATTCCTATCATTAAGGTGTTCATAGTGCTTTGACATTCCTGTCACTTTTGACATTCCTATCACTTTGGTGTTCATAGTGCTTTGACATTCCTATCACTTTGATGTTCATAGTGCTTTGACATTTTTAGCACTTTGGTGTTCATAGTGCTTTGACATTCCTAGCACTTTGGTGTTCCTAGTGTTTTGACATTCCTATCACTTTG